ATTCCACTGCTTGAAAGTCTTCAACGTCTTCTGCTACCTCTGGGGTCAATGGCAGCAAATTCTCCAGCAAAGATTGTTGCACCGGCCACCGGGTACCCTAGTTAAATAGTTAAGACACTTTAGAAAAAACAAAAGTTGGTTCCCGTAGCAAAGGAACAAGAGAGAAAGAGAGCGGCGAACATTCTACCTGTGAAAGTAGGTGCTGGCATAGATAAATCCAAAATGCTAACCATATTCTGCCAAGCTTGGCCTGCTAGCATCTGTACAAGGTCATTGACAGCCATGGCACCACATGTGTAGCTTGATTGTGAACTGGGCCCTAGTTGTTCCATTCGAAAAGGGAGACTGATGGAGTGTATTGCAGATGCATAAACTGCACTGGTGTGGTAAGGCATTTCGTCTTTTATGCAAAGAAACAAGGAAGTTCTACCTTCATAAAATAAATAAGTTCTTTTTGAGTCTGTTAGGAAAATAATGAAGAACAGAAAATAGGAAAGTATTGAACACCATGTATGCAGATATTTTCATGGAAACTAGGATGAAAATATTCTGCCCAGTAAACAGCGAAAAACAGTCTGTGTGGGTATACTGTGGATAAGAATGAAAAATTGGAATTAAGTTGTTTTGTCATATGATATTAATATTTTGAGTAGTCTACTATTTATTATCTTTCAAATACATGATATATAAATATAGATAATCTAAGATCAAATTTCATACAAATAGCAGCATAAGACAGTTCACATCACATTTTCGTCAGTTGAGACCTCAAAATTGTTTGTTTTTATCTTTACATTTTAGCTCAAGCATTCAAGCCATCTGTTTTTCATTCTAAGCATAGACATTTACAAGAAGGTTATGAATCCATGTCAAACAGAGTTGCCCAAATAATCCTTTCAATATACTGAAAATGGAAAACAGTCAAAATTGTGCACGTGTTGTTAGTGCTTACTTCTACTGAGGGATGGCAAACCAACTTGGATGACCAATTTACAGAAAGCTGATAGCCTTGAAAATGAAACTGCATCATGAAGGTTGCGGGAGATTGTCCGCTTCCTGCTTTTGGGATCTATGGAAGTATCAGGGCTGTGGACACTGTACAGGAGCACAGGGATATTTGCATACTCATCTGCAACATTCTCCAAAAACTCCCCCACTACACCTGAAAATCCTCCAGCATCATCAACTACAAATGGGATTCTCTGTCAAAATAAGAAAAATAATAAGAAATTTCATCAGTGGGGCCCAACCTAAATAAGGAAGAAGTACCTGAACGCGATCACATTCTTCAATAAAAAAACGAAGCCTTTCACTAATTTCGTCTCCACGTAGACCCCCTGAAAATGCATCTCTTCCGACTCCATAATTGTTAAAATCCTCAATGTCCATCGACTCCATCCACAATCCACTTAACTCGTACAAACTCTGTGGGTGATAATGAACTTTTGAGAAGTCTGTCCAATATTGAACTCCATGTTCCAGACACTCAACAATGTCTTATCTTGAATTTCGCACCTAGAACCATTCTTCCCAGTATCAGAACTAGTATTGCGCATGTCTTCATCTTCCAAGTTCAAACTTTCTAAGAACATCTTCTTCTTCGAAGGCTCAGATGAACGAGTTGTGACACCACCAGTCCTACACATTGATCTGGAGACATTCAATTCATATAAATGCCAAATCAGACGGCAAAAGGAATGGTCTCTACATGCCACTTAACAAGAAAGCACAATTAGCACATCCAAAGCATAAGGAAAGTAGCAATCATGTCTTTAATTGAGCATTTTATGGAGTACACAGGAAAATAAAAATGCACATACTCCACCAATATTCCACAACAAGACCTTTAGTTAGAGGTCTAACATCCATCCAGGGTCATAAAAAACATTTACAATTAGATAATGCAAACTCCAAAGTTCCATGTAATTTTCTTATGTATTCTAGTTATCAACATACTGCCAAGAGGCAAAAATAAACACAGTCCGAAATAACAAGAGATTGCTAACTGCCTCCTCCAAAGAAAGAGATGACAATGGGATAACTGTAAAAATAACAAGCTAAATATAAGCAAGTTTCCTCCATACTGACCATTGTCATCTCTTTCAGAAAAAGATTCTAAAATATTTTTTTTAAACAATCCAAAACGGCGAAGAGCTCTCTATGTGTGGAAAATTTCTAGATACAAAGCTGAAAATGTTCCTAAAACCCCAAGAATCCTCACTCAAAGGTTCAAAACATACCACTAAAGTTATAGTAGCCTATAGATTGGGAAACTACAGAACAGAAGTTGTAGGCCACAACAAGAACTGTTCATTGCACTGATTGAAATTTAAGTTCTCTACAGAAAGTTAAAGGAAAAATAAAATGGTAAATTAGAAAACTATACATTTAACATTAATATTAGTACACTCAGCTCATTAAAGATGAACTAGAAGAGACAATGAAAAAAGGAAATATAAAAACAAAAATTAGAAAAAAAAACCAATCTGGCAGTGTTATTGCAAATCAAGGTAGCAATTGTAAGCAGAATATCAACACCAAAGGGAACACAAATATAACCCCGTGCAGAAAATATGAAATGTTTTGAGCATCAATATGACTGAGTCATGAATCCTTGAATTACTTCTTAACAACCTTCTAAAGAAAATGACTATCATCAATAGTGAAAACAAAATAAATAAATAAAGTCTTACTATGTTGAAACACATCCTGGTGGGGCTTCATTGTACAAAGTTCCATGTGAGCTCACAGATCCTAGCGATCCTGACAAAGTTTATACATCAATACATAGTTTTGATAGAAGAAAAACATAATTAGTTATCCTTCAGTTAAGAGTAATCATTTTAAAGTACAAGACAATAACATGTAGAGCTTTTAATCTTGCCCCTGTTTGACAACCATTAAAACAAAACTCCTTTTTTTTTCTCAAATTCATTTCTAACCACACATTTTCACAATAAAATATTCTACACGTAAATCCAAAACTTTTTCCTATTTTTTAACCACACATTCTCCAAAAATTCACTATTTAAAAACTCATTTTTTCCAAAGAAAAAAATCTTTTAATGGTTGTCAAACAGGGGCTTTAGTGCCTTTCAAATGACAGATACTGTCTATAAACTAGATCGATACGAATTTTACAAGATTGAAAAAAAGGTAAAAAATGAAGTATAGGAGCATGACAACAGCATTTGCCAATCAGCCTGAAGATCTCATCTTCACTACCATATAAAGTAGTTCACCAACTTTCTGGAGAACCTTATAATCCTTTAACACCAACCAACAGGCCACCCCAAAAAGGTAAAATTCTATAGAACAAAAGCTCACAATATAAGTGAGATTCAAATATCCAATTTATCTTTTCGGTTCAAGTTTGGTAGATGAGAGCAACAAAGGGGACTCAACCCATTTATAAAAATGAAACCAATCCATTTCCAGAAAATAGCAAACATTAATAACAAGAATATAAGTAAAGAATTAACCATACATTCCTCAAAGAACTATTAAGTATAAAAAAAATCTAAAAACCGGCACATTGCTAAAGTACGCGTGTAAACTAACTCTTCTCCTTTCCCATTGTTCCTTTTTCCCTCCTCATTTTCTGATAACTCATAACAGCAACCTCCAAAGGTCTTCATCGAATTTGAATTTCGACCTCACCTTAATGATTTTCATTTGCTTTATCACTACTTTCCTCTTCCTGGTAGAGCTCAAGCATCTCATTAAAATTATTATTTTCTCAAATTAATTTCAATTTCAATAACTAGACATAATTGGTAATCAAGACTGTAAAGCAGCAGTCCATCCCAGAGTTCGGGATTGACTTTAATTCAAATAAAATGATTTGACATAGAAGTATCGTTTTCATTATCATTAGCATAATTTGAGTCACTGGTATTGTTTTCATCACAACTTAATGATTTTTTCATTGACTTTGTGTTGATAAACTGATCCAGATAATAACAGTAACATCAGTTCAATACTTCAATTAGAATGTAAGTGAACTCATAGGCCATAAAAGAAGCTTGGCATGGTGGAACTGGATCAGCATCAAAATTTACATAACTTGAAAATCAACAGAAAACACACGAGGAGTATATGAAGGAATACCCTGAATGTGATAAACACCTATATGTAAATTATTGGGCTTAAGGTATCTAAATAAAATGTGGGCCATATTATATGTGTAGAGACCAGATTCTTTTATAATTGTATTTCATAATGGGCGAAATATTTATGGATATATATAGGGTTATGGTCCCTAATTCATATGTAACTTCTCACTCTTTGTGTCATTCCATTAATACAAGAATACAAGAGAAAGAATATTGAAAAGGAAGATCAAAAACACACAATCAAGATCAAGGATTGAAGAAGTCAAGAATTACAATCAAGAATCAAGAAGAAGGATTTGAACAATTAAATTGAAGAACAAGACAATCAAAATTATGGAATAAGAAACCAAAATCAAGATCAAGAACTCAATAATCAAAAGAGCCAATAATCAAAATTCAAGATTCGGAATCAAGATCTAGTAATAAAGAATCATTCTCGTAGAAATAAGGTATGTTCCGCAATCCGCATTATTAATTTTCTTGGTGATTTGAGGTGGAAGATTTCGACAATAAAGCAATTAGGTTTTAAAGTTATTGAAGGTTTAAAATTTCATAAAGTTTCAACAGAACATGCCAATTACTCCACTGAGGTTCAATTGCAAATGAAATTACCTAATGAGTCTCACCGCTACGGTAGAGGACAATGGACATTCATGTCGAGGCTATGATTTTTAAATATTTCGTCACTCACCGGGTTATCAGCCAACCCAAGCATTTCATCCTACAACGTTAAAAATACGAAATATATCTCACCAATGAAATGGAAGTGGATTAGATAATTTAACCAAAGCCAAAACACTCTTTCAAATAGCTGGACTTCAACAGAAGTTCTAACAATCCAAAAAAAACCAGATATTATTCGAAAATCATTAAAGACCCTTCTGAAAAATGCGATAATCCTCTTAATTTGCCTACTTATTCATAACTTTTGAAGCTTTACAGAAACAACCCAGTATAATTAAATTAAAAAAAAAAAATTACAACTGTCTTGGCCGCAGCTCTAAAAACAGCAGGCATAAGTAAACATATGTAATGTAAATTCTTCTCACCTGGAAATTCCAAAAGTGAGAGCCAATGAAGTTTGCGTAGCTTCCAACTTGTACTGTCACAATTTCCCTCATTCTTGTCTAGAACAAAAATGGGACCAAAGTTAAACCGATAATGATTCAAACTACCTACTTATTAGATCGAGAATTTTGCAAAATCATAATCTGATGAAATTAATCCTATAAACAGGCTTGTTACAGCAATTAAAATGCTGCAATTGTTTAAGAAAAACGGTAGGTATAATAAAAAAGAACGTAGATTGTTTCCTTTCGACACTTGTTAATCACATAGCTATATTTTTATGGAGATTATCGATGCTTTATTCAAGTTATAAAGAAGAATGTGCGAACGGGGGGAGAGAGAGAGAGAGAGAGAGCGAGTCACTGTGTCACGGGCAGCAGCTTCACTTCAGCCCCGGGCCGCTATCGCAGCCGCTGCACTTCGGCTGCGCCTAGTAAATATTTCATTTAATTGTTATAT